AGATCAGCAATTTCGATGATCATTATACAGTAAAATCTGATAATTATTTTTCCCTTCGAAACTTATTATCAAATTCATCAATCAGCTTACTTCTTCTTTTTATCGGGATTTTTTTATATGAAAATTTTACGTGATTTTTTTTTCTTTTTTTAGATATTTTTAACAATTTGATTTGATGGATTGTTCAAATTGTTCTTTCAGTCTCAGCTAAAGATTGCAAATCCACGATCGACTTGGAAATAAGCTGGTATCTGTTACCACTTACTCGATACGCAAGTCTATGTATATTACTAGGCACTGAACTAGGGCAAAGTACATAATGAAGGCAAGGATAGGAAAGATATTAATGCGCTCCACTTCGTCCATGGTGTTCCATAAATAAATAACGCTACCAGTTTATTTCCCGAAGCGACAAAAATCGTTTGCTTCAATTTCGTGTCTCGTTTCTTGTTTAATAAAACAGAGAAATATTGTAAAATTTCTAGACGCTTTTCTACACGGATATAGAAAATTTTGCAATCTGCGCACTACTATACAACTATTTATACGTAACGCGAGGTATGTCGTATTATTCGTGATCGTTCATGCCAACAAATTCCGATTCATTTTTCCCCCCTATTTGTTTTCAAATCTTTCGTTTTCATTCAAAGAATATTCTCGATCGAGCCGCCTTCGAATCGATACACCATGCCTCGATCCTCGACACGAATTTACGAAATAAAATTTACGAAAATCCGCGGCTACGAGATTATTGTCTTTATTTTTAGTTGTGTTAGCTTTTCCTAGCGGGTGTCAGTCAAGCTACAATCTTTTGCTCCGTTGCAAAATTAATGAACTAAACAGTGATTCTAATTTTGTAACGAAAACCAGACTCTCGTTTCACGGGGGAGAGAAAGCCACGCGGCCCGGATGGAAATAAGGTTATGTCCGTTCTAAAATCGGGGAAATCGAATTATTGATAATATTCGTGAAAAAATGGAATGCTTTTACGCGCAAAGAAGGGAAAGGAGAGGAGGGAGAGAAGTGAAAACCACGTTCATTAATGCTGGATGGAAGGGAAAAGAGGGAGAGGGGAAGGGGGAGACGTGTTTTGCAAAAAAAAAAAAAAAAAACTAGGCCAAATGCCGATAATTCCTCGCCTTCTATGCCTTCCGATCCTCGCTATAATACGTGCCGTACTATTGAAAATTACTCGTGATGGTTTTGTTAATAAAGTTATCTGCCATTTTTATAAAAGATGTGTACTTTAATTTAATTGGAACAATTTTTGTTTTCGCAAAAAACATAATCATCTTCGAGTAACTTTAGTAACGTTTAGTAAAATACTTGTTTGATGAATTTATAATAAGAAATATGAGAGATGAAGGGAAATGTAGGAAGGAAAATTTAACGAGAATTTATTAAGAATACGAGTTTATTTATTTATTGTTTGCAATTTAGAAAAGTAGATCTTAGAAATATCTTTCGGTTGGGTTCGAATTTAATCGATTTTAATTGATAAACTCGATAAAAATGGTTAATTGAGAAATGGAATGACGTGATTGTGTATAGCGATTCACGTATACGGATTGATCACGAAGATCGTTTATCACGAGTCTCGTAAATTCTCGTCTACATCTGCTCTATGATAAACATATCCATCGACGTACCGAAAGCTTTGAGATACTTTTGGTCTGATCGTTCTGACCTGTTAATAGCGGTCTCATTCGTGTGATCGTTTCGTGGCTAATATCGATATTAAAATATGAAAATCTATTGATCCTTCAAGAATGATATTAATTTATTATTTGTTTAGAAAAATTATTTTAGAATTGATTAAATTTTATTTCCCATTTAAATACGATGAATACTTTTTATAAGATCGCATTTCATTTGTAATAAAATATAGCTTCGATAGAAGAAAATCTGCCAAGTTAAATAATACCTTCATTTCAAATTTTTATAAAAATATTTATTTTTATTCTGATTAATTCCATCATCAATCTCAGATATTAGAAAACTATTCAACCATCATATTCCTCGCGTTGATTAAATCTTCCTCCAAAGATGGAATATTTCTGCATTTAATTAATTTTTAACGAAACTATTACGATACGTTTTAAAGTAGATACGTTTCGCTTATCAGATAGATACTAAGAGCAAACTTAATTAAAATTTTAATCGATAGCATAATAATTAAACCCTTATTTTCGTATACCAACGATATGTATGTTTTAATATTTAATAATATTTATTAATAATTAAATTAATAATTATCAATACTTCGTTATTCCAATGCTGATATTTAACGAACGAGAGCTAACAAGTGAAAACGGATACCATAGGTCGGACGTTCCTCTCTCATTTATGCAACATTGTACAACGATATTATACAATTACTTTTACATACGCGCATAAATATATTAAACGCGTTAAATTTATATGATCTGAATTTAAATGCAATCTTCGACTATTCGTTCTTCGTGAATCATGCCAAAACACGAATTAATCGTTTGGAAAAAGTTTAATCAACGCATCATTTCGTTGGAGATTTCATCTAGGATTACGAAACAAAGGAAAATAAGTTTTCGATTCGTACAATGGTAATCTGCCGTTCTTGCCAAATTCAGATTCTAAATTTCTAAATTTTGTCAATACACCTCTCGCTCTTCTGTTCTCTTCCCTGTGCGCGATCCACGCTCTCACGAATATAGACCGATTAACTGGAAAAATATAAAAAGAAATACATAAATATTCTACTTTATAATCTGTAAGTTTTGTTCACGTGGCTCTAGATCCGAACACCCGTCTATTTTCGTTCCTCAAATCTGAATTATTCAAATTTTCAACGTCCATATACTTTCATCGCTATTCGTATTATAATTTTTAAGATTTTCATTTTTATTCGATATTCGTTCTCCCCGCGTTGCATTTGCAAATAAATCAAAGGAAAATAAAAGAAAACTTGTAGAATTTTGGGAGATCACGATTCTCAGATCGATAATTGTTCCTTAAATTCGAATTTCAAATTTTCTTTTAATCTTATCATTAGTATATTTTAAGTTTATCATTAGGTTCTACTTATTGTTCTTCGATCACGACTTGTAGCCATTTTCACGTGCAATACCTTTCAAAGTAAATGTGTAAGATACAAAGTTTATTATCAAATTTTTTCCTATGATTAATAATTTGAAAAATTATTCGAACCATCGATTTAATAAAGAACGTACGTTAATTCCATTGAATCACGATTTACATACACATGCAGGACATTTATGCATTTATGCAGAATTTCCGCATGAAAATTTCCATGATATGCAAATGATTCAAAGTGTATAGTCGCTTATTACGATATTTGAGAAATAAATCAACTTTAATCATATTCGTGAAAATATTATTTTCCATATAAATTCATAAATCTGATATCCCGTTCGACGAACGTATTCTATCGATAAAAAACGAGAGGAAAAGTGATCGATAAAATTCGAGAGAAAAAAAAAAAGTCAGTTTGCAAAGATGGACAAAATTTCGAAACAAAGAAACAACAAACAAAGAAACGAATAATGCTTGAACAATGAACTCGTTGTTCAGAGTGATTGTCCTCATCTCACGTTTTCCAAATTATTCTTTGCAATAATCTCGAGAGATTTGATATTTGACAAGAAAATCTTACACTTGGCATAGCGTGTTATTTAATTTGGCTTCTTCGTTCAGACATTGACAAGCTAACCTTCTAAAAGGAGACGGGAAACGAAATAATGATAGAAGATTTCGACAGAAGGTTCCTTGCCAAATTATTTTCAGGACATCCACGTACTTTGCGTCTCTTTCTTCCAGTTTCTTATTCTCGAAAACGAGAACTTTTTAGGTCCTATGTAATTGCTGTCCTCTCTTTATTTGTCCGCTGAGAAAACACTTGTTCTGTGTTTCATCTTTCGTATTTCATTGGAAAATTGGTTTCAATTAATTTATTGTTAATTGTATAATAACTTAATAATTTGTTATTACATATTGTGCGACCAAGAGATAAAATATTTCGAATTAATTATTACAATTAATTTTTGAAATAAAAATATTAATGAATTTTACCATATTTTTCTTTCTCTTAAATTTTACGATTAAATTGGAATTACGTTTCGAATATTCTCTATTGATAGATTAATTATTATAATAATCTTAGAAGGAAAAAATTACGAAGAATTCGATGGAAAATTAAATATAGAAGAAAATTTATATTTATTATTATTATATTCTTTCAAATTTTCTTTTCAAATTTTCATACATTCCACTTGTATACCAATATACTTGTTGCGTTGATCTAACAAAATTGCCAATTTTAATGCAATAATGGAATATTAATCACGATAAAGGAAGCCAAGATCCACATGGAAATTTGAATTTCGTGCCAAATATTTACATTACAAGTTGCAAAAAGATACATACGCGTTCGATATTTGTTGGCAAAGCGCATTTTCATTTTTTCTTATCGATTTTGTTCGATCCTTCACAAACTTTTCATCAATTTTCATTTTGCCTTGTTCACAGGTGTTTCCAAAGAAAATATATTTTCCACGAAGTGAACAGAGAAGAGATAAATACAAGAGAGAATACACAAATAATTTGGTAAGGAATATTTTTTCGAAAAAGAATCACAAGGGGATCGACAATAATAAAATCGATACGTGAAATAGAGGAAAGGAAATGGAAGCCACCGAGTGGAACGTAACCGAGGAAAGCGACAAAAATAGTCGAAATGGATGCTCGAAAGAAATAATGAAGACAACGTTTGAGAATTAAAGAAGAGAACAGAAATCTTTGAAAAAGCAGCTTCGTGAAACGTACGAGAATATTTCCTGTAAAAAAAGCAGACGTTTGATAAATTATGTAAAAGAAAGTTTTGACGAGATTTAGCTACGTGCTAAATATAAATCCAAAAACGATAAATTAGATCAATCTGTTAAGATTTAACCCAAATATGAAAAATTTTGGAAAACATTGAAAGACAAAAAAATGTCGCTCTCTATAAAATATTAAATAAATTTAAGATTCGTATATAAATGTAAAAAATAAATTTTAATATCGAGAATATTCTTCGATAATTGAAAAAACGACAAATTTAATTGGACAGTGCACTCATAATAAAAGTAACATTTCCTCAAATATTTGTTCCTGTTGAAACGAGCTTTGACCCGCGCTTTTAAAAACGCAATATGGCAGAGCGTTAATTTCGACATTTAATCCTACAAAGGAAGAGGAGGAAGGCTGCCGAATAGAAATTTCTAGAATTCGAAGGCGAACTGGACGAAATGGCGAGTCGAATGAAAGCTTTATACAACCAGGTACAATTATTATACATCTCTCTCTCTCACACACAATTTTTCCCCATTCTCTTTTTCAAGTTATCGCGATAAAATTATAACTCTTTTCTCTAATTTTTTAAACAGGTCGAGGATATTTTCTGTACGAAACGAAATTATAAGCGAGAAGAAAAGAAATAATTTTATTACTAGTAATCAAAGTAAACTCTTTTCTCTTTCTTAAATAAAAAGATATTATATTATAGAGTATCATGAAAATTTTCAATTTAATTTGTCAAGGATAATTTATAGTGGAACGCGTTCTTAAATTTCATTGCGTGTGCAGGTTATATTCGAGAGGCGAATCCTCCTCGGTTGCACGGTCCTCGTGGGTCTGTCGGTGTGCATATGGTCGGTCGCCATTGGAACTAATCATTGGTTCACGATCGAAGCCCCGGATAAGAACGGTTTACCAATCGGTGACCCCGCCAAAGGAAAAAGATTAATCTACAAGAATATGGGTCTCTGGAGAGGCTGTATTCAAGGGATAGCACCTGAATCTGAAAACTCCACCAAATTGATCCCCTTCGGTAAGTCTTCTCTAAGAAAACAAATTTTCACATATTTTTCACTAATATTTCGGCTAATTTTCTTTCATCCTTCCGCAAAATATTCGAAATTTTCTCAGAGAAAAGTCCCCAGATTGATGGAAATGTAAATTGTAAGTGATTCGAGAGGGTAGTTTTATTTTTGTCTCTTAATTATTCGTAAAAGAAGAAGAAGTCCGTCAGAATTTTGTAAAAATAATTTAAATTTACAGAGTTTAAATCGAAGTTGCGAAAGAAAATGAAAATTCTCCCCAATGGTGGCCAAATATCTGTTTGTAATTGGCTCGAATAATTCCCGCGCTTTCCCAATAATTGGTGAACGCTTGATTCGGAATTATGGACGAATTTCTCGAAAAGTGCAACGAGTCGTAACGTTTCAAACATCCTCCAGGAAAAAAAACACGTTCACGAAAAATCTCTCTGATCGCTAAATTAAATCGAAGGGGTGGCACGAGGATAGCGGAGATCGCGATGGCTTCGTTTCAAAAAAGGCGGGCTCGATGATATCCATGGATGATATATCTAGTTGAGAAGAACATATTGTGGAATGATTATTCTATTCGTGGGCTTTAAATAGAATCTAATGGAGGAATAAAATATCGTGTCGTGTAAACAAATCTTTCGCAATACGTTTAATATATCACGTTTTAATATATCGCGTGTATAAAAATGTTTCTTCGATGTTTCTTTCTCCTTTTGCCATTTAGGGTTATTTCTAGGGATTTTTTTTTTTTTACGTCGAATTTTTATCACGTTGAAATACGCTTTAATTTATTTCGTAGCTCCGGTTAAAGAAGCATAGTGGATGTTCATCCACTATGTCATCAAGAGATTTACCATACCTCGATGAACCAAACCCGATTTTATAGACCTCTCTCTTGGGTAATTTAATTTATACTTCGTTTACTTCGTTGCACCAGGATGACTAACTTCAAATAAAAATCTACGTCTACTTTGACTTCTCTTTCAAAGATTTTTCGCATCGAGTAAAAGTGATTTTTTTTGTTCGATCGTTTTCAATCGTTTTGATTCGATTTTTTTTTTTTTATTTCTTCTTCGTAATTGTTCTATTTCTTTTTCTTTTTTTGAATGATGGTAGATTTAAAAAATTTTTGATTTAGATTCAAAGGCTGCAACAAACCTAGTTTCGCTCTTTGTAGTTAATCACGTTTGTGTCAGCGTCTGTGGGCCTACGCTCACTTGTCACACGTCACATTCACTGTTCCACACGTGTGTTTCATCATGCGTACGTCACAGTCACCAAATTAGACAACTGTAATATCATCGTAAATTGCCCGAACACCGATCATTCCCTTTCATCTTTAATCAATCTTCCTAAATTTAGTAAACTTTGCGCAAAAATTATTTAATTATTTTTCAATGAAACGTACGTAATATCTAATCAATTTACCACTACGATAACATTTATAAGGTACGCAAATTTTTACAGAAAAATCCTTTAATTATTCCTCGATGAAAGAACAATTCATTTTTCAAATCATTCAATCACCTCACAATATCCAATTTCCATCGATATCGTAATCTTTTCGAGGCAAAAATTTTTATACAAAAATTCTTGATGATTCCTCAATTAAAAATACATTTCGTTTTTCAAATATCTCACAACGTTCAATTTCTATCGATATCGTAATCTTTTCGAGGCAAAAATATTTACACAAAAATTCTTGATATTATTCCTTAATAAAAGATTTTCGATATCTTTTCATAATCTCTTCGAGATAAAAATTTTTACGCAAAAATTCTCGATCATTCCTCAATAAAATGATATCTAATTTCTATCGACATCTAATCTCTTCGAAACAAAAATTTTTACGCAAAAATTCTCGATCATTCCTCGATGAATACATTTTCTAGTTAATTCATAGCAATTATTTATTTATTTATTTTTTTTTTTTTTCATAATCGAGAGGTAAAAATTATTCTTCGATAAAAGATGCGACGATCCACGGATTCGAAAAGGATCGGATAAATTGACGACCTCGGATGATCGGGGAGGATTAAATATCATACGGTATAAATATTGATCACGTTCTTATTGTCTCTCCAGCCCTCGTTCAAAGGCTGAGGCGTAAAAATAACTTACCGTGACGCGGGACACGGACGGGAGAGGCGTTCCATGGGAAAAAAAAAAGAAAAGAAATAAGATAACCAGGATGAGAAAATAGTAAATGGTGGAAGAGTGTGAGAGGAATGAAGATTGATAGGGTGATTACGGTAAACCGGCGAGGGATTTAACGGGTTCCGATTCATACATCAAACTTGCGAATAAAAACTGCAGTAAAAAAAGAAAGAAAAAAAAAAA